CTTGAATATTCGAGTTGCAGAGTGGGCAGTGAATATTTTCCTCCTCTCCACTCATCCTTGGTGCCCTTTGCTGTGTAGATGACGTTTCCCTGAGGCCTCTACTCCAAGTGAAATGTTTATTTATTTTTTGGGACACTAACCTGTTGCTCCCATGTATTCAGTGGGAACAGCTTAATTTCACTGCAAAACTGATAAGTAGATCCCAGAAATAAAGAGAAAAAGGGAAAGAAGGCCAGTTCCTGAAGGTTTTCTGCTGTACAGAGGCTGCAGCAGCAGGGTTGAAGGCAGATGTAAATATTTGGAATATTTGGGAATATTGAGAAAGGAAATATTGCCTGTAGAACAAGCAGAATGAATTCAGCAGTTAAGATTAGGGTAGAATTAACTAACTCCTGTATTTAAGCCCTTGTTCAGTCTGGTTCTCTCTGCTTTTTTTTTTCTTTTCAGATGACCAACACACAAATATTCCAAATTCAATTTCACACTGGATTCATAGCCCTGGGAACAACCACTCTCAAATTCACCAAGTGAGTGTTTGAAGCTGAACATTAATCAAACCTGATGCATAAAAGCATGATGAAGGCTGAGGGAGAACAGTCACAGATGAAATATGAAAAGCCTGAATGTACTGAAAGCCTTTTTATAGCTTTCCAGAAATATTCTTCTCTTTTCAACTGGACCACTCTTGTCCCCTTTAGGCCTGAGCTGGATGCCTGTGACTCTCCAGACAAATATCCTCAGCTTTTTCATGTTATACTGGACATAGAAATACAGTCTGCAGACAGACAAACTGAATTAACTCCCCCATGGGAGAACTTCACAACAAAAGACATCAATCCCTCCATTCTCTTCTCCTCCCACCAGGAGCACCAGGACACTCTTGCTTTGGCAGGTAAGGGCTGCAGGGATCGGTTCCCTTCCCATGATTGATTCCTTCGTGCTGAGCTGGGTTTGGTTTCATTCCCCCTCTCTGGTGCTCTGTGCTGCAGGCAGAGGTGCCACGGATTCCCCCCAGGACAACATCAGGAACGTTGGGCAGAGTGCATTCTTCTCCTCTCTCAGCTGGCAAGGTAGGCAAGGCTTGGTCTTCAGAGTCAAATCTGCCCCAAAGAACACAAACAGCCCCTGTTCCCCTGGCTGGAGCTGCAGTGAGGCTGAGGGGCCCCACTGTGGCATTGGATCACAGAGCTGGGCACACCCTGGTGCTGCCATGGAGTGGGAATTCCCTTCCTACAGCATCCTCCTCAAACTGGGCTCTGTGGGACCATTGTTGACACTTCTAGGGTGAGCCTTCACCCGAGGCCTCCTTCATGCCAAAACTTGAAATAAATAAGCCTTGATGAGAAAATTCAGGTTAATTTTGGCAAAGGAATCATGGTTGGAAATGACCTTTAGGGTCATCAAGTCCAACCATTCCTCAACATTGCCAAAGCCACCACTGACCATGCCCCCAAGTGCCACATCTCCCATGGATGGGGACCCCAGCTGTGCCAGGGCTGCAAAACCCTTCAGGGGAAGAAATTCACCAGTTTTTACTTTAAAAAGCAAAATGATTCTAGCCAAATGCTGCTGTGCTATTCTCAGCCTTCTGTTCTGCTTGTAAGCTGATTTTTACGGGACCTTTGTGATGACCAAACTAACAGCTGCCTAATTTTATTTTCAATCATCATTTAGATCAGAAATCTGACAAAAGTAGCTCTCACCCCACCTCAGAGGATCGAGCAGCGTTGGTGCATGAGGAAAGCGAACAGTCAGATGACGAACTCTTGTCCCTTTCCAGTCAGCACAGTAATGCCAGCGGCGACAAGCCCCACGGGACACCCAAACACAGCAAAAAGCAGCAGGAGCCTCCAGCAGCACCTCCCCCTGAAGACGTGGACCTGCTGGGCCTGGATGGCAGCCCCATGAGCAAGAGCTTTCCCCCGCAGCCCAGCGCTGCCCCCTCTAACTCTGACCTGCTGAATGATCTGTTTGGGGTCGGGGGGCCGAGCTCGCAGAGCCCTGCTGCAGCTGCTGCTGAGGAGGTTTTCCCCGTGGGGGCACCTGGATCTGTGCAGTCGACCCCGCGGCGCTCGGCAGCCTCAGCGTCGCCGTCCCCGTCCCCCAGGGTAGGAGAAGGTAACGGTGCCTTTATTATAAAAATATCGCAGCAATACTCCATAAATAATGCTGTCCTGGTTTGCAAATCAGAATTAAAACAATTGGAAGGGAGGGTGTTTGCGTTTTCCACTTTAGGGGAGGCTCCTGCCTTCCTTAGCAGATACCTATCTTTTCAAACCATGACAAATGCTTATCATAAAAATCAGTAAATTCACGTGATGCCACCAAATATATCAGCAATAAGTGTTTGAGGAAGTTAAGATAGCACTTTTGAAACATTCATGTATCAAGGAAACAGAGCAAAAACTTTAAACAGTTTGATATTAATGACAATTGTTATTTGTTGGTGTTACCTCTAGAAGACAAAACCAGCAGAGGCTGTAATGAAGAACACAAGTTTTGATAAAATTGATGATGTAATGAACTGCATCCCCCCCAAGGGGGGGGACTTGGGCTTGTAGGATCCCTCTGGGGGATCTTGGCTACCTCCCTTTCATGTAGGGGATCCCAAGAGGCCCCAACCAGCTCCTCTGCTCCAGGCTGGTGCATCCTCACCAAACCAGTCCCTACTGGAGCCACCCTGGGGTTTGGAGGATCCTCACTCCAACCACCACTGCAGAGCCTCAGTTTTGCTCTCATTATGGGCCCAATAGTGCACATGAGTTTTACAAAAACTCCTCTGGGGCTTTGGGTAGACCTACAGCACCACGAATTGAATTTCCCTCTGAACTTAGGGGGTTTGGAGCTGTGAGAGGGATCCTGGACTAGGAAATAGAGAATTGCTGTCTCTCCCAAGGCCAGGCTGCAGGAGTGGTTGGATGGATATTAGGGAGAGGGATCTTTTGAAGGATGAAGCAGAGCAAGTGCAAAGAGAGAGGAGAATGCAAGTTTCAGTGGAAGAAATTGGTCACTTGTACCCGTAGAAGGTTTCTCTTGTTGTAGGCTCAGCCTGAGCTCTCACCCAGGGCAGGTTTTGCAGACACATCACACAAGAGGTGCAGCAACAGATCAGGAAAAGATTTAGGGATTTAGGAGCTCTGCAGAGCCAGACTCACACAGCTCAATTGTGCCAAGCCAGGAAAACAAGGATAAGAGCTTGGGAAATGAGTGAAGAGTAGTGACTGAGTAACATAAGTAATGAGTAGCATCATCACCACATGCAGAGCTGCTAGGGATTGTACCTTTCAGGAGGCTTTTAACCTTAAATTTGGTGACAAGAATCTGAGTGACTTCATAGGGGTTTCTTTTGGTTGAGTTTGTTGGGGTTTTACATGGAAGAGAGAAGACTGAACAAATTGATCAAAATGGAGTTTGAGAAGAACTGGAGGTTTGTAAGAAGTGATGTAAAAAAGATATCCATTATTTTCTATCCCCAACATGGATAACCTTTGCCAGCCTGAATCATCTTGAGAGGAAGCAGGAATGGCAGGAATTGCACCAGGGCAGCAATTCCAAGCTCCAGTCTGTCCTCCACCCTCTCCTGGCAGTTAAAACACCACCTGAGGTGCCTGAGTACTTTAACACTCACTTTGCTGGCTCTAAATTCAGCCTCTCTTAGGAAACGAGAGATGGGGTCAGTTTGTTGCCGTGGCCAGGCTATGGGGCTCTTTAGGGATAATAATTTGGGATATTGATGCTCTCCAGTTGCTCCCCCACAGTCGCAGGCTGTCCCCTCTTTGTTACCTGCAGGTATCAGATTTCCTCTCCCCACAGCATTCCCTTACCCTGAAGCACACCCCTGCTGCAAGTTCATGCTTTCCTTTCCTCAAATATGTTTTCACAGCCACTGCCTTTGATCCTTTTGGAAGCAGCCCCAAGCAAACTGGTCCAGACCTCCTGGGCTCCTTCCTTGGCTCATCAGCTGTCCCTGGGGATCCTTTCCTCCAAGCCACAAGGAGCCCTTCACCAACGGTGCACAGCGATCCCTTTCACATGGGTAAGAAAGGGGAGCCTCTTCCAGGGGGTTTAAAGAAATGGAAAACGTTGCTCTGAAACAGAAATGGAGCCATTAAGTACAAAGTGATGATCCCCATAAAAGGACTCTAAACCACAGAAACGCCACAAAACAGGAAAGAGCTTTTTGTCTCTGGACTTAAAGTGTGGTTGGATGAGTTGAGTTTTGCTCAGGTCTTAGACTTAATTAATAGGCTATTTATATAAATAAAAAAGAGGGCATGAAGAATGTCTGCCCGCATGTTCCTGTGGGTATGAGGTCTCCTTTGAACAAAACTACCATTAACTGCCCTAAACACAGCCATGTTTAGAGAAAACACACATCCTTTGGTGATTTTAGTTGCAGGCACCAGCTTTCTTTAGCTCCAGTAGTAACCCTAACCAAATTCACAGCTGAATTTGACTGAAGAGAAGGAGTTTTCTTCTATTTGTTTAAAAGCTCCCTAATTTCCTCCTTCTCACCCCAAAGTTTCAGGTGTAACCCTGTCTGAAACACATTCAGTCATGGATTTGTTTGTGCCTGATCATTTAACATGTGCTCCTTGGGAGTATTCCCTGGAAAGGGATCCTAAAGACCATCCAGCTCCAGCCCCCTGCCATGGGGGGAACCTCCCACATGAGGTTCTGGGACTTTGTGGGGTCCCAGTGGCTCCTGGTGGGCACTGGGCTCTGCTGGTTTTGCTGCACTGCCTTCAGATACTGATATCAGTCATTCTCTTTAGCTTCAGGCACTCCAACAGTTTCCATCCAACCAGATGTTTCCAGTGGTTGGGACTGGCCCAACAAAGCAGGTATGTGCCATAAAATTCAGGGTGGTTTGCAAAAAAAAAAAAAAAACTTTAAGGAGCTCTGAGAGAGGAGAGGCAGAGGGGAAATGCTGCCAGTGACTGCAAAGAACAGGTTCCCTCTAAAGATTTCCAGATTTAAAATAATCTGGGTTGGTTTCCTCAAGAGCCCAGAGCAGGATGGGTGAGGTGAGGGTGTCCAGAGGTTGTTTCATCCCATGGAGAGCCATGGGAAGAACCTGGGCAGTGCTGTGCATTCCCAGGATGGCACTCAGTGATTGCCTGGTTCTTTCTGATCCTGGGAGAGTGTGCATGGCCTCCCAGAGCTGCTTCCTGAAGGCTTCTAGCTGTTAAAATGTGTGCACATGTCACAATTCCTCTGGCAGAGCAGACAGTCTGGGAACATTCCTGCTGCTGCTCCTAATTGGGAGTGGGAGTGCAACAAGTCTGAGGCTGCTGAGGAACCTGACAATGGTACACTCAATTTTAATAGCAGTCTTCTAATATGTGGCTGAGCACTGGGGAAGAGCTGCACTCCTATCAAACAGGAGGAAAAATGTTCTTTTTTCTCTTATATATATTATATATTTTTTTCTTTTCTTTTTAAGGTGGTTTAGGAATGGGAAGTAAGTCTGCTGCCACCAGTCCTACAGGATCCCTCCACAGCACTCCCACTCATCAGGCTAAACCCCAAACACTGGATCCATTTGCTGATCTGGGAAGTCTTGGAGCGAGTTTAGCAGGTTTGCATCCCTTATTAAAAAAAAAAGGAAAATAATAAATTACCAGCATTCTTTTAGAGAAATAGGCTGAGCAGCCTGGTGTGTGTGGGGCCTCTCAGCCCACCTGCATGCCAGTGCTGCTGCCAGGCTTTCCCTTCTGCCTGACTCTCTGTAACTCTCACAAATCCATGCTTTTCCTGATCCCTGGTCAAAAAATGTGCTGGCAACGTGCAGGGAGCTCAGCAGGCTCCTTGGATTGCAAAGCACAACCTCTGATAAGTCCAAACATGCTCTTGCTGAGGATGCTCTGTGTTCAAGTGCTGCCACAGGCCTGGGAGGAGAATTTGGCTCTGCAAAGCTGCTGGGGTTCTTGAGGAATTGCTTCCTTCTAGACTTGACTTGTTTTGAGAGAAAAGCTGTGGAATTGATCTGCCTCTAATTTGCAATATTATCTAAAGATGGGGTATTTCACCTGGCTACAAAGCTTGACTGCTTAGAAAAGCCTTTTCCCCTTGTTTTATGTAATAAGAAAATCATCAAACCCTCAATTCCAATGCTTAAAAGGCAGTTTTGAGAAATGATTGAAGCTTTCCTTAAAGCCCAGCATTGTCTGAGTGTGGTAAATAGATTTTCCTTGCCTTTGTTGCTGCCCTCAGCTCTTTGGGAGCCTCGTGGTTCGGTGTGATGTTTGTTTTCCCCTTTGCGTCAGTCCCAGCACGGCTCTGGAATTCGGTTTCCCAGTTCCCTCTGCTGGATTTCAGGCTGCTCTGCAGGAGCAAAATAAAAACCGTGCCAAGCCCCATGTCAGAGCCTCCGAGGTCCTTTTAAAGCACACATTCTGTAGGAGAGTGGTGGGGTTTGAAAACAAATGCCTTGGCATCCCCAGGATGTTTAAGCACATTTTTGTTGGTCGTGAGTAAATCAAAAGCTCTTCATCCAGTTTCCATGACACATTTCTGAGCTGGGAGCTGAGCGTGGATGTCAGTGTGAAATAATAAAACATTGACACTGGGTTCCTCCCACAAACACAACCAGAGCCAGAGGAGCATCCCCTAAAGCAGCGAGGTGCTGGGGCTCATCTCTGTGGATGGTTTTAATCAGCACAGCGTGAGGAGACACGATTCCAACAGCACCAGCTTGGTGTTGGCACTGACACCCATTCCTCAAAGCCCCAAACCAGGTGCTGTCCCAGAAACAGCTCACAGAGCAATCTCTGGGCTAAAGCCATGCTGCAAACGTTCGTGGAACAGCTGAAAGCAGAACCCCGGGGGACTTTGCTTGGATCAATTCTGCTTTGTGAGAAAAGCTGTG